TCCTCAGATTCTTTTCTTCCCTTCCTCCTCCCACTGCTCATTTCTTCCTCCCTTCTCCTCCTCCTCTTCTTCCTCCTCCTCCTCTTCTTCTTTAGATACAGTCTTTTTCTGGCCTGTAACTCAGCAAGTAGTTAGGATGGCTGATCTGCTTGGCCCAGGGACCACCTGTCTTTACCTCTCCAGACCTGGGATGACAAGCATGTACCACTACTGCCGGCTCTCTTTCTGTCCTTTTGTTTTATCTTACATGGCTTCTGGGTCTTGAACCCAGGTCCTCCCACTTGCAAAGCAAGCACATTACTAAGGGAGCCTTCTCCCTAGTCCCGGTGTAAAATGCATTGATGGAACACGCAGAATAAACAACTGTGGCTTGCAGGAATAGCAGCCAATTTAAGACTTGAAAATTCCCAGGGAATCTAATTCACTGGACCACAGAATCCAAAACTCAGTCCCTTCACTCACAGTCCATATCAGACAATATGGCAATAAGGTCTAATAACATCGCAGGGTGGGGTTTACTAACGGCTGTGTGGGAGGGCAGTTCTGCCACTGCAAGGCACACGGCTTGTCATCAGGATACACAGGGCCGGTGTCTGGCATTCTGAGATCTATTTGGTAAGCTGCCGTGTTTGCAGCCAGATCCTACAGAGACTCCGATGGAAGAATCTAGTGCAATTAGAATGTCAAATCACGTTCCCAGTTTCCCTTCTACGAATTGCATTTCTAAAAATAAGATAATGAAAATATGTATTTGTGTGGGAGAGGGCTTATTGTAGAGAGCTGCAAACAAGACAAGAGGAAGTGCCTGGGCTCAAAATCCCCACCAGGAGGGCACTTTCACGGCAGGCAGCTTCTGAGCCTTGGAGAAAGCTGTGCCATGTGCTCTGTCCCAAAGGAGAGTGGTCAAGAAAGTCGGAGGCTGCACCACCAAGTCTTTAGAATAGAAAGAAGGCAGGCAGCAGTATTTTACTGGTCATAGCCTATTTTTTTTCTTTCCCCATCACCTGACCTCAGCTCTTTTCAAAGGGTAGAAGAGAGAGAATTAGCTAGCTCATCACATCTTTGGGGACTTAACCCTTTAATGGTTCATTGAGATCTTTTGGTGGCTGTTTAGTCATGAAGAGTATACACAAATGCTGTGGGATAATGCCCTTGTATACTGGTTTAATAAAACACTGATTGGCCAGTAGCCAGGCAGGAAGTATAGGCGGAACCAGCAGAAGAGGAGAATTCTGGGAAGAGGAAGGCTGAGTCAGGAGATGCCAGCCCACCATCCAGGGAGCAGCATGTAATGGCACACAGGTGAAGCCATGGAACACATGGCAACATACAGATTAACAGAAATGGGCTGAGTTTAAGTGTAAGAGCTAGTCAGTGGTAGGTCTGAGTTAATGGCCAAGCTGTTTTAGCTAATGTAAGCCCCTGTGTGTTTACTTGGGTCTGAGCAGCTGTAGGACCAGGCAGCTCACAGGAAAACCTTACCTACACATAGAATATGGGAGGAGCTCAAGAAATGACTCCCGTGCCATCCTTCCTCCAGCTTCCTAGGTCCTGGATAAAGTTTAATACGGGTCAAAGACACCTGTCTTCTCAGACTAGTGAGGCTGAGGCAAAAGGCTTGCCATGAGTTTGAGATCAGTTTGATTTTCATACTAAGCCCCTATCTCAATGAAACCGAAGGAAACGAGCAAATGCCAAGTTCAGTAAAAAAACCCAGCTGATCTGTGAGGTTTCTTCTTTAGCACCCCTCACTATGGGAAGTGTTTAATCTCTCTTCAGCAGAAGAAAAGACCTTAGAGGGAGGGAAGTCTGGGGTCTGCAGCACTGTAAGATTTAGGCTTTTGCAGCAGGGCTTATAATGAGAAGGATTCCTTTGCCGACCTAAGAATAACAAAATTTTGTACTGACTCTACCATATTGTGCGATAATATGAATATCAAATTTCTTTGAGTCAGATGCGGGTGGGATTGAAGAAAATGTTCATTTGAACCTAGTGTGATAGTGCACACCTTTAATCTCAGCACTGTTGAAGCAAAGGAAGGCCAACCTATGTGAGTTGAGGCCAGCCTACTCTACAGGGTGAGTTCCAGTCTAGCCAGGGATACAAAGTGAGATGATGTCACTAAAACCCCAAAGGCAAGAATCAGCAACAAAAAACCATTTGGAGCAAAGGTGAGATAGCATAATTATAAGGGTGAAGGACTTACTGTGAGATCAACAGCTTGCTGGGGTCCAGCTATAAGCAGCTGAAGGTGTGGTTGTGACGGAGGCTCCTAGGGGGTTGTGGGAAAGGCTGACTCTCCATTACTTCCAGAGTTTTCCTGTTGCTCTTTGGAAACAGTTTCCTTCTTTATGAAAAAAAATCCTTCTCACATTTTCATTATATAGCTTAGATATATTAGCAATGTATTCATTCTTTCTATTGAGGGACTTTGTGGATCTTTGCTATCCCAGTCTCCCTCTCATGTTTAAGCATAGATACCATGATTGGCAGTTTTCTCTGTGCACTTTAGAGGTGTCTTTCCATTGTGTCTGTCATCATTGCTGATGAGAAGTCAGCTAGTCTTGTTGCTTTCTAATGATGGCTTGAGAACTTTTTGTTGTTATTATCTGTGACTTTCAGCAGTTTTGTGTGATGTGGGTAGATTTAGTCTTTAGGGGTGTATGTGTGTGTGTGGGGGGGGGGCGGGGGGCAGATCCTGACTTTGGTCCTCAGAATTCCCCAAACTTTGTGCTACCATATTCTAGAGCTTGGGAAATTTTCAGGCATCCTTTGAACTCTCCGTCTCTTACTCTGTTTCTTTCTTTTTGAGACATTAATTACATGTGTTAGACTTTTCATTGCTATCTCACATCTATCTGTTCTTGTTTGAAAATTTTAAATTCTTTTTCTCTTCTTTCTATCCATTTAGGTATTTTTTATTGAGTTGTCCCCATTCGATAATTGTATCCTCTGACTATCTTCTGTGGTATCAAGTTCCTAGTTTAGTAATTAGTCTTAATTTCCAATTAGTCTTAATTTTAGTAATTATATGTTTCAGTTCCAGAATTCTCACTTGACTCTGTTTCTATAGTTCAGTTCTTTGTTGAAATCCTTTCATCTATTTGAAAATTCTTCTACTTTATTCTTTTTAACTTATAGCTCAGATATTTTCAAGACTTTTTTTTTCTGCTAACTCTAATATATTAATCAATTATGAGAAAATTTCTGGGTATTTGAACATGTCCTACTTCTTGACCTGCATAATAATAATTTTTATTATTTTGCTCACATTATAAATAGAAACAGTTATAGTGTCTCTAGATAATGTCATCTTCTCTAACCCAGTGTTGATACCTTGTATCCTGCTATTTCTCAAGCCCAATAAAAGCTGTGCTTTAATTTGGCTATGACTCAGTTTGTTGGCTCCCTTTACTTCTACAGTCTAATGCTCTGAAGAGCTTGTGCAATTTGCCGAGCCCCTCATCCTGCCAGGTCCTAAACTCTTCTCCCCTTTTCCTTGTGACTCAAAATCATAAAAACTCAGTTCTGCTTTTCAGTTTATCTGCTTAGTTTTAAGCCACCTGGCTATGCTTTAGTGTTTGGCATGTGCTTAAGGGAGCGACCAAATGCATAGTCAGGCTTAGCTGTGAGATGCTTCCCTTGTTACCAAGATCTTGGCTCTAAAGCCTTAAATTTTGTTTCTTTTCTATCCCTAGCCTGTCTTTGGCTTACAATCCATATTTCCATGCCTTTTCTCTTAATGCAGAATGATCAAAATAGTTATACAATGTCAATATGTCTCTGTTTTGTCCTCCCTTTCTAAAATTTTATTTTCTCTCATTCTGGGTGTCTCCAGTTTACTGATGCATTTTAATACCAAAGTCCTCGATTTTAAGTTATTCATGCTGACAATCATAGTGGGTTTCTTTTGTAAATAAACTTTTTGCACCAACAGATGAGATGCAATGAGTATTGTCTACATGGAGACTACAAACTACAAAAAGTTGATTGTATTTTGTAGTTGATTCTATTTCCACAGGAATATAATCCAAGCATAGGTTGAGTTATGTTACTTCCTCTTAAAACACATACTGGGGTATGTCTTCAGAGCCTCAGAGTGGGTCTTGTTAGGAAATAGGGTTATTACTGGTACAGTTAGCCAAGATGAATCATATGGAAGTTTGGTAGATGTTAATCCAACATATTGCTGTTCTTACATGAACACAGTAATATAAGGGTACAAAGACATAGGAAGAATGGCCTGAAAGATGGAGACAAAATGAAGTGATCCATCTTTATGCTGAGGATTGATGGCAATTGCTATATCTGAATGAGAAATACGGGAAAATATCCCCCCCACCCTTCACACACTTGTCTCTGAGACAGTAAACTTCTGTTGTTCAAAGTCACTTGGTTTGCAACATATTGGTATTGGGACTATTGAAGTATATGTCCCTTGTCTTTAGAAGTGAGAAGAACGGCCAGAAGCTCCTATGGACAGAAGAGAAAGCTGAGGCATGGAGGATGAGAGATAGCAAATCAGAAAAAGTGTTTTCACAAAGTCCTTTGTGTTTTCAGTGATGTTAGTGGTATCTTAATGCTCTGTACATGAATCTTAGAAACATTACTTAATTAGTATGCTTAGATTTGTTTTTGGAAGTGAACTGAGAGAAGCCTAAGAACAACATCAAGGTAATCATGGGACAAACCAAAATTAATTGATATGGGTGACAGAGAGCAAAAGATGATTGTGGTGGTTTGAATGAGATTGGTTCATATATTCGCATGCTTAATCCCTAGTTGATGAGCTGTCTGGGAAGGATTAGGAGGTGTGGGCTTGTTGAAGTAGGTGTGTCAATAAGGGAGGCCTTTGAGGTTTCAAAAGCCCATGCCACGCCCAGTCTCTTCACACCCATAATTGCTGCCTATGGGTCAGAATGTAGACCTCAGCTACTTCTCCAGCCCCATGCCACCTTTTTTGCTGCCATGCTCCCCACCATAATGATAATGGACTAACCTTTTGAAGTGTACGCGAGTCCCCATTAGATGGTGTCTTTTATAAGAATTTCCATGGTGTCTCTTCACAGCAACAGAATAGTGACTAAGACAATGCTTGAAACTTCTAAGCCTCTGACCATCATGGGCTCCAGAAGAGAGTCTTGGAATTCCTTTGACAATGACATAAGAAGAGTTATTTTAATAAAGTTCATCTTGAACCTAAGATCATGATTACCAAGTGTTCATTTATGCCATAGGCAGCAGTTGCTTCCACATTAACTATGTTCTTGCATCACTCTTTTAAGGTAAGATTCATTTTCTCCTACTTATTTCTTTTTGGAGTTTTGAGACAAGGCCTCAACCTTGTAGTCCAGGATAGCCTAGAACTCACTATGTAGCCCATGCTGCCTGTAGACCTTGCCTTTCTTTTGCCCCAGTCTCCCAAGTGCCAGGATTATAGACATGAACCACCCTACCTGGCTATCTAGTTATTGTTTTAAGTAATAGTATCATCTGTGATAGTTCATAGTGACTAGACTGAGCTCTAGTCACCCTGAAATCTTAGTCATGGGTTGGATTATCTTCATGTTTTGTGTCCAGTGTGTATAGTAATAAGGATGTTTTTCCTCCACATGGTCACTAAGGTACTCAAGATGGCAGAGAGTCTACTATGTCAATAGCGAACATCATAACTCCGAGGTGTGACAGGACAAGGCATGTAGAGGTTCCTTCACCTTGTATTCTTGCTGAGGCCATTTCAGGTTTAACTGGAATGATCTCCTTGATGGAGAACTCCTTTAAAAAAATTACCCAATTCTATTCTATGAATCCAAGGTCAAGATGCTGCAGCTAACTTAGCTTCTGTTAAACTGCTTGCTTGTACAAAATCTCTCCCCATAGCTACTAGGAACCAGGATGTGATTTTTACTTTTAAAAGCCCATTGTTCTAAATGCTCAGGATCCTGAATACCTGAGTGTTGTCCAGGTGGCTGAAATAAAGACTTTAAACTGGCTATAAACTGTGACTGAGTGACCATTTCTGGTGGGCTCCCCAAAACATTTTATAGACCTCTGGTGAGCTCCCCAGAGACTGGACCACAGCACATTAGGGGCCTTAGGGCCCCCAAGAGTAGGGAATAGTGTGTCAGCTGGAGGGACTCCTAGGGGGCACACAGCCTGACATGTTCCTGAGCCATGGAAAAAAATGTCCTCTGACCAATTGCTGCCAAGTGTTCTGGAGGCATCCCAATGATGCCAACCAAAAGAAAAAAAGGTAAATCAAAAGTCATTTGGTTTGAACACCCCTGGAGGTAAGTTTGGTCAACAGGAGTCATCATCTGGTTAGGGTGCAAGAAGGAAGGTCAGGCACTACCATAGATCCTGTTTCCAGGATCTGTGTGAGACATTACTGGATTCCCCTGGGCTGTTCAGATGCACGACTGTGTGGTGGCCACCTATGGTTGTCTTTACTGTGTGTGCTCCCTGTATAACTGTGTCTCCTTATGTGTCTCTCTGCATGCTTCTGTCGGTTCTATTGGTTGGAGAAACATGTCTAAAATGGAAAGAGGAATGAGCTGTCATGAAACTGCACCATTGCTGTCCCCAAGACAGTATGTGATTTCCTACAGGCTCATGGGCCATGCTGGGCTGCCCATCCATGTTTTGGCACCCCTTGTCCAGCACCAACAGTGGCCATGATGTCAGCAACTGGCCATCCTTGCCTTAAGACATGTGCCCTGTTCTTGGGGTCCTGAATACTTTGGCCTGGCTGAGTTGCTCAGAGAAACCCAAAACATTTGCTTATTCGCTGGGTCTATGGGAGTAAATACTTGTTCTGCCTCACAGAGCCTTCCAGAAACCCAGTGGGCAATTCATCAGGTCCTTGAGTAGCCTGACTTAGCTTAGATAAATTGGTAGGTTTTCTGACTGCTGCTTTTAATCTCCCCAGTAATGTTTGGTGAAGAAGTGTGAGCCCCTCTGCAGGGAGGAGGAAATAGTTTCCCAAGCCACATGCTTGCTCTCTCTCTCTCTCTCTCTCTCTCCCTCTCTCTCTCTCTCTCTCTCTTCCTTCCCCTGCCTACTCTAAGCAACTGGTGGTGCCCAGGGAGGGGGAAAGTAGTTAGTTCATCCAGTGGCCCCCAGAGAAAAGGTAGGAGTTCCACTCCTTTCCTGTTCACAGTCTAAATACCCTTCTCTACTAGTGACTTGCATAATTGGAAGGCCCCAAACCTTTCCCTTTCTTTGGAGAAGCCACAGCCCCTTATCAGCCTGTTTTAAACTGTTTAAGAAGGTTTTGGACACTACTTCACCAAACATTATTGGGGAGATTAAAAGCAGCAGTCAGAAAACCTACCAATTTATCTAAGGTAAGTCAGGCTACTCAAGGACCTGATGAATAAAAAGCCCACTGGGTTTCTGGAGGGCTCCGTGAGGCAGAACAGGTATTTACTCCATGGACCCAGATGCCCCCTAAAACAGTGAGCCACTAATATTGTCTTTGTCATGCAGTTGGCCCCAGACATAAGAAGAAAGCTCCAGAAATTAGAAGGATTTGAAGGGATGAAGAGGTCTCAACTTTTGGAAATTGCTCAGAAAGTTTATAGCAGGCAAGATTTAGAGGAGGGCAAACAGGGAAACTCTCCTGTGTGGTGATTGCTGCCCTTAGGGAAACAAACAAGAAAGAAAATAGGCGAACCAGACCAGGAGAAAGGCTCAAAAACTCATTAAGATTGTTTGATGAAGTCTTGAGTACAGAGCTGTTGGAATTTAGACAAAAATATCTACAAAGCACCCTACTCTAGTATGTACATGGCTTCCACATGGCTTCAGCCACTGAGAGGGGATGTCAACAGATCACAAAATGCCTTTTAGAAACCCTCCAATCACTGGGGTACAGAGTCTCAGACAAAAAGTTTTGGCTGTGCGTCCCTCAGGTCACATACCTAAGCTACAACCTAGAGGAAGGTAAGCAGATGCTTTCCCGTGGCCGTATTTCAGTCAATTCTGCAAATGTCTGCTCCCATATAGGAAAAAAAGAAAAAAGAATTCCTGGGGGCAGTTGGATACTGTTGGCTATGGATAGGGATGTGCTAAGATGGTCGAACCCCTCTATGCCAGCACTGGAGGTATGCAGCCTTTGGAAAGGACCAAGAATCAGCAGAGGGCCTTCAAAGCCTTAAAAAAATGACCTGGTGTCTGTCCTGGCCCTGGCCCTCTCAGACATTACCAAACCCCTTCACTTGTACATGGAGGAGGCTAGAGGCATTGCCTAAGGGGTCCTCATGCAAACTCTGGGACCCTGGGAAAAAACAACGGTGTATCTGTCCAAGAGACTTAACCTAGTCACAGTCTGATGGCCAGTGTGTATAAGGGCCATAGCTGCCCACCACTCTGTTGGGGAGAGAAGGTGACAAATTAACTTTCAGGCACAAAGTCTTCCTGACAGCCCCACACTCTGCTGAGGACTTCTTGAAGGGGACACATGTGAGTTGGATGTCTAACACCTGGGTGACCCTACAGTGCTGTGGGATGTCTTTTTGTATGCTGTGAAATATATGTTGCTCTGATTGGTTGGTAAATAAAGCCATTGGGCCTATGGCAGGGCAGGATGGAGCCAGGCAGGAAAATCCAAGGGGGATAGTGAAAGGAGAGGCTGGGGAGATACCATCCTGCTGCACAGGGAACAACATGCCAGCAGACCAGTAAGCCATGGAACACATGGCAAGGCATAGATTCACAGAAATGGGCTAATTTAAGATATAAGAGCTAACTAGCAAGAGGCCTGACATAGACCATACAGTTTGTAATTAATATTAAGCCTCTGCGTGATTGTTTTATAAGTGGCTATGGGGCTGAGGGCCAGGCAGGATCAGAGAAACCTTCTGACTACACCACCCGAAACCCTGCATCTGGATCCACACTGCATTTAGTTCCACAAAGTGCCAGTCCTCAGTCCTGCCAGATGAGGACCTTGCAGGTGCCCTGCATGAGTGTCTTGAGGTGACTGATCGGATCCAGTCTATCAGGCCTGATCTGACTGGTGTGTTATTGGTGACACCAGATTCGATATTGTTCACAGATGGGAACAGTTTTGTTCACGATAGGATCAAGTGGGCAGAGGCAGTGGTGGTGACCCAAGATAAGACTATATGGTCACAATCTTTAAGTAGTTCAATAAGCTGAGATTTTAGCTTTGACCCAAGCACTCCAGTGGGAGAAAGATAAGGCTCTCACTATATATACTGATAGTCAATATGCTTTTATCACAGCCCATGGCAATTGGGGCTGTAGATGAAGAAAGAGAATTCCTAATCTCAGCAGGAAAAGAAATTAAAAATTGAGCAGAAATCTTAGCCCTATTGGAAGCTATCTGGTTACTCAAGAGGTTGGCCATTGTCAATTGCAAAAGACACCAAAAAGGAGATTCCTCAGAAGCCAGGAGCAACAGAACAGTGACTTGGCCACCGGGGATGTGGCTCTAGAATGAATGGAGCCTCTTCAAGTCTTGGTAGCCCTACCAGAGCCCAGCTTACTGAACTGTCAAGGACACACCCTGGGCAAGGTTGACTAGGTAAAACAAGAACTGGCCACACAGGGTAAACGATTGTAGTGGATGCTGCCAGACAATAGAACCAACCTTCCCAAGAGTCTGGGGTCTGTGAAGGTGACTGGTTCTGGATCTCCACCAAGCCACCCACCTAGGCACCATACTAACTGCTGAACTCCTCAGAACCGAGGGATTATGTTCCAAATGTGGGAAGCCTTATTAAGGACACCACTTTTGGATGTGCCATTCATACTTGGGTAAGCCCTCAAAGGGGGAGGGGAGGTCCGATGAGAAATCTGGGATTGAGGAAATGGTCCTGGGGAGCACTGGGGGCTGGCCTTTACTGAAATCTGGCCTACTGTTTTTGACTATAGATATTTGCTGGTGTTTGTAGGCCTACAGACCCAGAGACTATTCCTATAGTTACTAAGAAACTAATTCAGGAAATAATTCCTAGGTTTAGACCATCCCTACCTTTGAGATCTGACAATGACCTGGCCTTCATGGCCAAAGTGTCTCAAATTCTGACAAATGTATTGAATATTGATTGTAAGTTGCCTTGTGTGTACAGGCCACAAAGCCAAGGTCAGATAGAAAGGATGAATAGAACTATTAAGGAGACTCTGACCAAATTGGTCCTGGAAACTGGTAAAAAAAAATGGGTCAACCTCTCCCTCTTAGCTCTGCTCAGGGCCTAATATACTCCTTACTGGGAGGGGCTCACTCCCTTTGAAATTATGTTTGTGAGGCCACCTCTGAGAGATTCCCCAGGCAGAGATGTCTAATCACTAGGCAAACAAGTGACTTTCCAGTCCTTGCAGGTTTTGCAATAAGGCTTGCCATACCTTTGACAAGACTTTGAAGGGAATCCTTCCATCTGAATCTATCCACCAATTTCAGCCAGGAGACTTGGCTTGGATAAAGATGATCTCTCCCTGGATCAAGGAACCTGCCTGGAAGGGATTCTACCCAGTTATCCTGACCACCCTAACTGCTGTCAAAGTAGCTGGTGTCATCCCTTAGGGGAAAAAAGCCACTGAGGATTGATAGACAGCCACCTGGACCTTGGACCCCTTAAAGATAAGACTGACCAGAGTTCACCAACCTGGGATACACAATCCTCATCAGCCCCAAACCTGTACATTGGAATTCAGAAAAACTGGGGATGGGGAACTATCTTTTGGATGGATTTCTGCTCTTTAATGTTGCTTGCTGGGGTGGAACAATATGGATGGAGAAGAGGGATGGGGGTCAGTAAATCAGGTTATAGAGAAGACTGGCTAGAAAAAGACCTTCAGGGATTACAATTTTATGCACACCCTGCCAATGGTGGGTTGTCTTGCCAAGGACAGGGTACCTACATCATTTCCTCAAATTACCTGGCTTGCTTGTGCTAAAGGTTTGACTAAATGTGCCTCCTCCACCTCATGGACAGTTACATTCCCACTCTATGTATATTGGTCTAATTCTGGTCCTGATCCCAATAGGGGGCAGGACTAGCCAGTGCAGCTACCGTCGGCACTTCAGCCTTGATTGTTGGGAACCAAAACTTAGGGAATTCAGTTCCCAGACAGACTCAGACCATGGTCATTTGAAGAATTTTTTTCCAGATTGGAGAGTCAAGTTGACTCCTTCACAGAGGTAGTCCTACAGAACAGAAGGGTGCTGGACCCCATTTCTATGCATGGCTTTAGGAGAAACTTGCTACTTCTATTAGCTGGACCATTGATTCTTACTCTGATTGGGCTGATGGTGGGACCCTGTATTCTCAACTGCATGGCCAACTACATCAAACAGTTAGTAAACTCAGGTGAGCTACTGGTCCTTAGGACAAACTATGCTCTCCTTGAACAGGACGAGTCAATGATTTGACTCATGTCCACAGAACCAGTGGGGAATGTGACAGGGCAAGACAGTGCAGAGGTTACACCATCTTGTGTCTTGCTGAGGCCATGTTAAGTTTAACTAGAATTTGATCTTCCTGACGGGGAATCCTATGGAAAATTACCAAACTCTATTCTAGGAACCCAAGGTCAAGTTGGCCCAGGTAACTTAGCTTCTGTTAAACTACTTGCTTGTGCAAAAACCTCTCTGTGCAGCTGCAGAGTAAGACACCAGGATGTGGATTTTGGCTTTAAAAGTCCCTTGCTCTAAATGCTCGGGACTCAATACCTGAGTGTAACCACAGTCAGCTGGAATAAAGACTTTCAGTTGGCTATAAACTGTGTCTGAGTGGTCACCTCTGGTGGGCTCCCCATAACAAAGGGAAGAAAGAACAAGGAAAATTGTGTGTCAGCTCCTGAGTCCTTTGGTGATCTAGAGGTGACATCTTTTAGTATTGCTCACAGACCAGGATCGGAGATAGTCTGAAAGGAGAATAAGAGATGTAACAACCCACATAGAATACTGTATCGTGGTCTGCGCCATTCTGCCTTAGCCTGTAATGTAGCTAATGTCACTAACCTATGCCACAGGCAGGCATTCGTGACATTCAGACTTTCCACAGCTTCTGAGACACAGAGCAAGGTCAACAGCACAAGTCCTTAAAGCTCCTCTGTATTTCATAAAGATGAAAGAGTAGCCAACTTGCTTTGAACCTCCACCTTCCCAGTGACCCTTCTTCTGCTCTCACAAAGTACAGATTTCTTCCTATTTCTCCCTGAAGTAGGTAGGATGCTAAGGACTGTTGGGTTGACTGTTTGGCGAATGGAACAAATGAAAAATCTTCTTTTTCTTACATGTGTATGTATGTAGTATATATGTGTTTGTACAGGTGTGTTCGTGTGTGGGGGCACACCTGTGTATACTCGTTAATGTGTATGTGCTTGCGTGCATGTGTGTGTGCATGCTCACGAGAGCAAGAAAGAGACAGAGATAGAGACAGAGAGATGCAGAGAGAGACAGAGAGAGACACAGACACATAGACACACAGACACACACACACACACAAACACACAGACACACACACACAGAGAGAGAGAGAGAGAGAGAGAGAGAGAGAGAGAGAGAGAGAGAATAGTCCTGAGGTTGATGCCAGGTATCTTCCCAATCGCTCTTCATTTTTCCATTTTATTTGTTGAGCCAGGGTCTCTCAGTAGAACCTAGAGCTCACGGATTGGATAGTTTAGCTAGCCAGATTGCTGAGATCCCTTGTCTCTGCCTCCTGAGTGCTGGCATTACAATCCTGCCTAGTTTTTATGTGGGTTCTGGGGTCCCAACTCTAGTTCTCACACTTGGAAGGCAAGCAGTTTACCCATTCAGACATGTCCTGAACAATCTTTCTGAACTGTGAAAAATTGATTTCTTTTACCTAAATTCTGCATTAGTAATGAAATGCAATTGATGGGAGATTAAATTTTCCATGATTCATTCTGTAATATATGAAGTTCCTTGGTCTCTTTAACTTCCATGGATGTGTAGATGCACACACATACACAATGCTTCTTATGAATGAGTAGCATATTTTTAATCTTATGTGTAGTGCTGGGAAAATATGGCTTTTATTTATTACTAAGTTTATCATGGCTACTAAACTACATCTCAAGATCTTTGTTTTTCAATGTCCCCTCATTTGTTTATTACTTATGGACCCTCAAGGACTTATTTTTGACTGGACTCAGAAATAGAAGCTCTCATCGAGGACAGGCCATGTTTCTTGACGATCTGGTCCTGGTATTTTTCATTGGCTTCCTTCATTTTCTTGGCCAAAATTTACCTTATATGACAGCCTTCTTCTTGTTTTCCTTAGTGCATTGTTTCATTAGAGCAATATGTCAGGGTTTGCGTAGCAGGACATGTGGAGTAACAAGATGCTAAATCATGGGTACTTTGATCCTGGGCGTCTTCCCTTCTTTGTTTAAGGGTTCTCTGGCAACATATTGGCAGGCATCATCTTCTTCATAGAGACTGATAGGCTTTCAGATCCTGATAGCTCTTGGGCCCCAACCTAGAGATACAGTAGTGTCCATCAGTCCAGGAATAGCCTTCTCTCCATTGTTGTTTTTAAATAATAACCAAGTTGAGAACACTCAGACTGGCATCCATCAGTACATCTGCAAACAGACTTGTGCTTCCTCTCTCCAGATCTCCTTGGTCTATAACAGGAATGCCCCTTACTTGGCAACAGGCAGACTCTGCAATGGGTCAAGACACCTTGCTGTGGTGATATTTTATTTGTGCTCTAACAAATAAAGCTTGCCCGAAAACCAGAAGGAGGAGCTAGCCACTAGTTAACCATAGAGGTCTGGAGGTCTATACAGACAGACAGGAAGTGAGGCAGATCTGGGTGGAGAGAGGAAGTGATAAGGCGAGGTGGAGAGAGGAGCTCACTCTCTTTCAGTGGAGGATTTCATAGGGGTAAGAACTAGTGGCTGGCTGCTCTGCCTCTCTGATCTTTCAGCTTTTACCCCAACAACTGGCTCTGGATTTTTTTTTAATAAGACTGTTTAGCAATTCGAGTTATATCTTGCTTTATGGAAAAACCTTGTTTGTCATTTCCACCACTGATTTGGACCACACAAACCTTCTATTCTTCACCCAGAGCATGAGAAGCTACTTGTGTGGCCTTGTCCTTCTCATAGAAAGTACAAAGCTTGTGTTCATCATCCATTTTGATGGGTTTCTGACAGGAAGTGGCGAGGAAGGAGATATTCAACTTCATTTTGACATGGCCAATTGCCTAAGAGGGGCTACAAAAAAAACCTTTTACATTTTAATATCTTGACATAAGTCCTGGTGCTACTGTTCCAATGCTTATGGCTTCAATTTTTCTCAAACTTATACGAATAGTGTTGAATACACACCTGTACATGGATGGTGCTATGGATGTGACAGGATAAGACATACATGTTCTTGGGTCTATAGTATAGAGGTATGACCAATAAATACACAGAGAAGCATATGATTAGTCATTGTAACCATCCCTGGCTGATTTTCTTAACTTAATTACAAATTTCTAGACAGCATTAAGTATGTCTTATACTTGTTGGGTCTGTCCACCATGCTTGGTTGAACTCTCAGTCATTCTTGGTTGATCATTAATTATCTGACCATCTGGCTAGCAGGAGGAAGCTGAGACCTGAGCACTTGTTGGCAGAAGGAATTCTTGAGACTGCCACAGACTTCTTCTTGGCTACCACTTTTGTTCTTTTCCTCTTAGGGATATGCTTACATTTTTGACATTGGCTTATGATGTGGCCAGAGGTTAATTGATTCTATTAGAGAGTCGGTGTCCGCTCATGAAATTCAAAGTCTGAAGCTGAGGTCAGAGGTGCTGTTTTCTGTGCCGGACTCGAGTTAAGCAGGTGGGTAATGCAGTTTCCTGTGCAGGTGATAATGTTGAGTTAGCACAAAGCTGGTTCCATCTCAGATGCCCCCAAGCAATAAGTTGTCTAAAATGAACTAAAGTGTTCTTTTAACCAAACTTAGTTTGCCCCCAGATTCTGACCCCTGAACAGGGCAGGTTTCATTCTACATTCCAAGGCAACATTCCTTGTGTTATCATACTCCACTGGGGACTTGGTTAAAGGAAGTTTAATGGGACTACGGCCTCTCATGCTGCTTGGAATTCTCTTGTCTTGTTCCTTAATAAGGTTAAGGGTTGCGCTGATCTGAAAGGGACCACATGACCCTTAACCCTACACCCTGCTGAGAAGAACCTGAAGTCTTAGCAGGAAGAGCCATATTACTTGGCTGAGAGAAGGCAGGGAAAGAATCTGACAGATAGGAAATGAAGCCAAAATTTTCTTCTATCAACTGCTGACATAGTTTAAGAAGCTTTCCCTGAAGCAGGGCTTTTCCCCCTTACATTATGCTACTAAAACAAAGGATCATATTTCATCCATGTTCAGACATATTATTATGTTTGAACACCTTTGGTTTCCAAGGGGATATGCCCAGGTAAGAGGAAGATGTTTTCTCTCAGGGGATCCTAGACTTGTCTCCAATGTAAATGTCGATGACCCAGTTAGGCATTTTTATGCTTAACTCATAGTTGGCTGTCCACATTGCCAGGAACACAAATAAAAATCAATGATTGTTTGTTAGTATTTGTATGTTTCATGTAGGCAAGTATCATTCCACACATCCACTGCTAAGATAAAAATCTGAACTATCTGGAGAAATGGTCTGTTTTCCAGTGTACCATATTAGTTCCTCATGACAGCTGTAACAAATAACTGCAAATTGAGTGACTTAAAACAATGGATATGCATCATCTAACAGTCTGGATGTCAGAAGTCCAAAATGGGTCTGACTCGGCTAAAATCAAGGTGCTGGCTAGGTGCATTCTTGTCTGGAAGCTCTAAGGGACAATCTGTTGCCAAGCTCTGACTGGCTTCTAGAGAATACACATGTGCCTTCTGTTAATAGCACCTTCTCCCATCATTAAAATAAACAGTGTTAGAGCATCTTCCTGATGTTGCCATCTCTCCAGCTATCTTCTGTCTCTGCCTCCACCTTTTAAAATACCCTTGTGATTGCATAAACCAACTTGAATACACCAAGGCAATTCCCTTAGTTAAAATCAGACTTAAGGTTGAGTAACAGTCACAATTTCATCAGCAATTTTAATTTCCCTTTTGCCAAATAATCCAGACTATTCATAAGTTCTGGGAATGAGGTTGTGGGCATCTATTGTGGATTGTATTCTTCTAGTGTTGATAGGCTGAAACTATAACTCCCAGGGTGATAGTGTTAGCAGGTAGAACCTTTGACAAGTGATTTATTTTCATGAGGAGCTTTTCCGCATGAGATCTATATCCTCATGAAAAGGGCCTGGTCGAGCTCCTTGGCTCCCTTTCTGCCAAATGAGGACAGAGTGGGAAGGTACTGTCCATGAACTTGGAAGATAGCCTTCACCAGACACTAGCTCTCATGATGCCTTGCTCCTGGACTCCCACGCCTGTCCGAAATGAAGTGTACTGTTCAAGCTGCCATGTCTGTAAGAATCTGTTCTACAGCAGTCTGAACTAAGACAGCGTCTTTGAGGGACCATTATTCAGCTTAGCATGAGTCTTTTAAAATTTGATGTTGTCAATTCCAGGGCCTGAATCCCATGATCTGTTTTTGTCTGTAAAATATTTTAAGAAGGAGTCCTAGCTGGTCTATCTCTCCACCGTCTACACTGGTCTTGATTCGGGGCGATGTCATAACACTCTCAATTTTGTGACTTAAGCAATTAGACACAGGCATTGATTATCAACCATCTGATGAGATGAGAAATTGCAGCTGAATTACTTATTGATTATGGATGATTGCGGTGTGATGTTTTCTGCTGTGTGGCAATCTTTGCCCTGACTTTAAGGTGGGATCAAGCCCGAGCTTTTCTCTGATATGACTTATCACTCCACCTTCGATCTGCTGCTTCTCTATGTGCCTGATCTCGCAGACACAGTGACCAGAATGTTGGTGTCATTTCCAACACCCTAGAGCATCTGTTCTCAGGCCCTGGACACACCCTGTTTGCGCCCTTTCACATCCCTGCCTGATATAGTCCCTTCTTTTCTCTAATTCCAGTCTGTGAACTGTTGGCTCCAGATTAATTTTTTTTCTAAAATCATTAATTGTACTAAATACTTAAATACCTACTAGGTATCTGGCCTTTCATAATGAGTTAACTGCTTGGTGAGAATTTGGCAATATGGATTCAAACATAACACCTACTATCTTTTAGGGTAGTTGAGTTGATGGGATTTGATACATGTAAGATGCTTTGATAGGCTTACATTAAGCATTCAACAATGTTTCACAGATATTCTGTGACAGTTATTAGTATCTATTACTGTTATGGATGCTATCCCACCTCTTATGACCATGGTTAGTGTCTGTCTGTCACTCTGTGTTGACAGACATACATGACATCCCTGTGCATGTTTCTCTCCATACCATCACTGGTCTGACCACCCCTTACGGGTAGCCTATCCTTCGCCCTTTGGACTTTCCCTTCAGCCTGCCACCATTGAGTGCCCATCCACAACCCTTGGGCCCAGGGAATCCAGTGGCTCTTCCAGGCAGGCATGAGAAGATCTCCTTTATCTTATCATGTCTTCTTGCAGGCATCCTCTCTGGGCCTGCACATCTGAGACCTCAAAGGCCAAGCTTTGAACTTCTAAAGAAAGGTGCTTCTCTTCTATTTTTTTTTTCTTTCAACCCTCTCTGAGTTTGAAGATCCATTGTTGAATATAAAAAAATGTCAGAGTATAAAGAAAACACTAGGAGGCTCTTATCCTCCCCAACTACAATCTTATACATAAACACACATGCTCATGCACACACTAACACACACACACACACACACACACACACACACACACACACACACACCACATCACACAC